AATCCAAAGGGCATTACCATCGACTTTTCTATTTGCCCTGTAGAAAAACTTTTCATTAACTGTCGTTCTATATCATGAGTCTGAACGACAGTCTTTTGAACATCAAGTATCCATTCATCAAAAAAAATTTCTTAAACCAAGGAAATTTTTACCCTGAAAAGTGCTTTTGAAAACCATTAAGGCTTGTTTGGGACGCGCTTCTTTGATTTTGATTGGGAGCCAGATTTTAATTCTATAGATGCAGAAAACAATCTATTAGTACTGGCAAAACTTAAATTTTTCGATAGCTAGCTCAGAATCAACAATACTTAGCTACAAAAGAAGCCCATAAAAAAAGCTGAAAAATCATGAAGACCAATTTAGAGAAGCTTCAAAAATGATAAGATATCCTAACATAAATACAAATAAATCTCTCTTTCTTGTGACTTATCTCTAAAAAGCAAAATAATGGAAAAGCATTCCATATAATAGATGATGAACTTTTATAGCAAACGAAGACGTTACCAACCCACAATTAACATATTAGATGCAGCCATTTACTGGATACTTAGATTTATGATGACCAGCGTAGCTGCTTACGCTTTGTAGACTTATTTGGGACCCATTACTACAGGAAATGGGTTCGGCATCATGGTGTCATGCTGAAGCCAGTCGGGCCAGTATGAGCCTCGACTCATTAATTTAGGCTCGAGAGCCGAGCTTATCGGCTCCGAGCTTTGTTTAATAAATAAGCTCACTTCGAGCTTGAGACTAGCTCGGTCGTGCAGTCTCGAGCCGGCTAGGATATCTATTATTTTTATTTTATTAAATTTGATTAATTAATAAAGATTAAGCATAAATATATACTATATATTAAATTTCAAAAACTATGAGCATTTAATATGTATTAATTACAATGATAATGATTCCTTGTAGGTTGTAAGAATTTGTATGGTTGGAAGTTATGCTTTAGCCAATAGTTTTTTTTTATATGAATATTGTTTTTTTAATAAGAAAATTTTCAATGATTTATGTGTAAATTTCACAATTTTATTTTTAATTTCTCATCATAGTCATTATCATTAATTTTATTCAAATGATTTGTATAAACTTTTTTGCTTAGTTATGGAAAATTCTCTTCCCTTCCCCCTCACAAATAAATAAAATAAAAAATTATGCTCGCACAATATAAAATTTCTTCATTTAAAAAAATACAAATTAAATTTACATTATTCTCTTACTAATTTGAATTCTAATGTTAACACAAACTTTCCTTCCCAAAAATAATTAGATAAATTTCTCAAAACCCCTCAAATTCCTTCAAATTACATCTTAAAGACCAAATCAAATCCATTTTTTTTCAAATAAGAACAAATCAGAAATTACATTGCATATCCAAACAATTCAATCAATCATAAGCTTCTAATATCCAAAATAAAAAGGGTGCTCCATGCATAATTCTTCATTCAATCAACCCCTCCAACACAAGCCATAAACCTTAGGCTCCCAAACCTGCGTTCCTTAGTAGGCGACAAGGGCTTTATTGTAAATTCCTCCATTGATCTATGCTTCCTGTGGCCACCAAAATCCTCTTCTTCGACCTCCCTAAACTCCTCTGCTTCAGACACGAAGCTGTGGCGATGGCCATCTTCCTGTGTAGCCGTTCCTGCGCCAGAAGAGAGCTGGCTATAGTACCTCATGGCCTTCTTCCTCTTGAAGGCTCTGAAGACATAGGGAATCAGACCTTCCATTTTGGGAGAGAAGAAGAAGAAGAAGAAGAAGAAGGCTTAGAGGGAGTTTGGTTGGAAATGAGAGTCATGCCTAACATTCCCCTTTTTTTATTTTTTAAAAATATGTAGATATTATTTTATAATATGAGAATGAAGAGTGGGGGGGAAGACTTGGTATTTGATAATGAGCAATAAATTGGGTGTGATGACTATTTGTGGTTCGATTGTGAAGTGTTGCATTTGTTTAAGGGGAAAATTAGGGTTAAGATGTTGCGAATGGATTTTGATCGGGGGTTATTTTCGGATGATTGTAATAGAAAAGTTAATGATTTATTTCGTTATATCTATTTTAAAATAAATTTAATGATTTTGATACTCGTTTTGATAAAAAATTTAAGGTTGAAAGTAGGGATCATTTTGATGGAGGCAATGGTAGATTGATCGGAAGGTCACAATTGTAGTGATTTCATAATGTCGAGATTGTTACTGATAGGCATGTAAGTTCTTCTCATGAAGATGATGATTGTATGGCCGAGATGTAGCGGACAAGGTGGTCAGCAAAGTTAATGCAGGCAATTGATGATGGTCAAGTCAGGACTCTCCCTAGAAATTAGGGTTACGTGACTTAGAGGAGGTGAAATAATCAGTACAGAAAGATCATGGAGGTCGCCATAAATGATCGAGTTAGTTCGCTATGTAGAGGTGTTGGTAGTATGACCTAGATGTGTCATATAAGATAGCGTTGAAACGTAACGAAAGTGGTCAGGGATAGTTAAAAAGATTCTATTATTAGAAATTGAGATTTCATGTTATAGATGTATTGTACTAATGAAAAAAAGTTAAATATAAATGAATTTTATTGATGGATTTTACTCATTTATAATTTTAGCATATTTATGACTAAAAATTAAGCAAGTTTTTTGGCAACCCAATAGATCCTATAGAGGTAAGGTGAGAGAAATTAAAAAATCAATTAAATTAAGAAGAATATCAATATTTATTTATTTATTCAGCAAGAGATTACTTTAGATAGGAAAAGACCCAATCAAATCATTCCACTTGGATATTCATTAAGTAATTAATGCAGGTTATTTTTCCCTTTTTAATTAAATGACATTTTAGGATGAAATGGTCAATCTCTACTCTAAGATTTAATATTGTAATTTTAAAATATAAAATTAAAACCATTAATGCTTAATAATATTATTCAAATTATTAATTTACTAAAAAAGTTTTTTTCTTCAAAAAATTGTTGTACTAAATTTTTTTTTATTACAAAATTATTTTTAAAAATAGCAAGAAAGTTGTAACATTAAAAGCCTATATATTTTTGATCTAAACCCATATCATTGATGGTCATTACCCTTAATGATATTGGTAATGATTAATTTACCCATAGCTTTACCGAGATAATTTATAAGACTGAGGGTCTATTTGAGACGGTTGCAATTTTTATAAATTTTTTAAAAGAATAAGAAAGCAGTAGTCAAATAGAATCGTGCTTGCAATCTGAAAAATAAAACAGTAAGAAAATTGCCCTAAATCAATAAACACCCTTCATTTACCTTAGATAAAGGTTTTGAGACCTTGTGAGTTAATTCCAAGCTCCTTCCCAATCTATTTTCTCCTCAATAAGCCTTTTAAAAAAATTTATATTCAAGAAAGAAGCTATGTTTGAAGATAAAAGAATTATAAGAGAGAGAAAAAAAGGCTTATAAAAGACCTATGGATAAGCTCAATAAATCAGCCCAATGCCTCTTTTAGTTTCATGGGCCAGCCCATGGGCCCTTGACATGTGCCAAACCCTTTCTTGCTATTTTTAAACAAACAACATTGGTGGTTAAGCACAGTAAAAGGTCAAGAAAGGCTTATTTTAGCAAAAAATTAATTGATTGCTTCTATATAAATTTTTAATAATGGGCTTTAAAGTAAAAAAAAAAATTGCCTAAATCAGTAAGCAGAGCAGAGTCACCTTTCCTTTTTCAAAATTATATCAAAATTATATATATAACTCAAAAATAAGTATGCATTGAATATAGGGGTGTCAATTTTTGACAAGACCCGAATCCGACCCTGAAAAGTCCTGGTTATGGACAATCCGGACCCGAAACAAGTCGGGTTCGGGTTCAACAAATCAACTCGTTTTAAAATTCGGGTCAAGTTTGGGTTGACCCAGCAACCCGAAAATGACATGAAGATTGACCCGAAAATCGAAGATCGCCCATTTTTTTACCCGAAAATCGAATATTGACCCGAAAACTAGCAATTTTAGGTCAACTTCGGGTCATTCGTGTCGGGTCGAGTTTACCCCAACAGTGTTGGGTCAGTTTCGGGTTCGACCCGAACCCGACCCATTGAGCCGAATTGACACCCCGAATTGAATATATGTGTATATGTATAAAAAAAAAATAAAGAAAAAATACATCAAACTAATTTTAAATAAAAATAAAATAAATTTAATACTTTAATACAAATATATATTTTTTAAAAATCAATTATATTAAATTTACCCATGTGCTTATCATAATATTACAAATGCCTGTGTACCATGGAGGTACACAAGCATTTAGTCCTACACCAAAAAGGCCACTTTATCCCTCCATTGAAAACTCCAAATCCAGCCATTGAATACCAATATATGACACGTGTAAAGCATCCACCATAGTCGTACCAAAGAACTTTTACATTCTTGCCCTTATCACCCCTTACTGCCATCCTCCCTCTCCCAGATACCTAAAGAAGCTCGAAACAGATCTCTAAAACCTACAAAACCCCATCAATTCCAACCACCAATCTCTTCGCCATTTCTTCTTGTAGAAAAAGCTGCGTTTTTTATCACAAAGATCCCACCTTTCGCCGGCGATGTCTCTTCAACAGCAGCTTTACTCGCCACCGCCGCCGCCGCCGCCGCCGCCGACGACGACGACAACCACGCGGTATCCGTCGAAGGAAAGCTGGGGTTCGATCGGTCCGGTGATTGGAGTTCTCGCTGTGATAGCTATTCTCGGAATCCTCGCAGGAGTAATCGGCCGGCTCTGTTCTGGGCGGAGGATTTTAGGGCTAGGGCCTTTTGATGTTGAGGGCTGGATTGAGAGGAAGTGTTCCTGCATCGACGGCGGGATCAGCTCGCCTCTGCCGCCGCCGGAAGAAGTCGGTCGTCAGAGATCTGAAGGGGAGCCGGAGGCCAAGCATTCGCCACAACGCTAGATTGAAGCGGCGCTGTACTAAAGCTCTGATTTTTCTTTTTCTTAGTGTAAAACAGTGGGAAAAAAATCCTTTTTTTTTAAAATAAAATTTATGTAAATTTTTTAGTATTTTATTTAGCTTATTTTCCTTGTGAACATAAGGGAAAAATATGTTTTATTTTTTTTTTAATGGGATGAATAGAAATTTGTTCTTCCCTTTATTTTTTTATCTTTGCATTAAAATCATCTCCAATCGAACTGTATACGGTGGTATACTATTCGCAATTCGCTCCATTCGAACGTCAAATTGCACGTCAAAATTTGATAGATGAATAGTGCGACGAAAATTTTTTATGTTACTAGATTTGCAGAAGAAGCGCACGAAAGATGAGAAAGATGTTTACCTTCACCGCTAGATGAAGAAGTGTGCAAAAGAGGAAAAAAAATAGAGTTCAAATGAAGATAAATTATTGCATTTTAGAGTGAAAAGTGGGTTTCTCATTGAGATGCACTAAATCTCTACTCTATAGGAGATTTGAATAATGATTATAAAGCAATAAAGACATAAATTTTGAAAACATTTTATAATTGGAAAAAAAATGAATTAGAATATTGATCAAATTGCTTTTATGATGGAAACAAATAATTGCAATAAATGCCAAAAAATAATGAAAATATTTCTTATGCAAAATATATGATAAAATAGTAAAATATGAAGATAATGAAATGAAGTCAACAAAATAATTATCATAAATGTGACCAAAATTCAAATTCAACTCGGTAATGAACTCTTGAGTCCAGCTCATCAAGCTACGAGTTTGAGCTTAAATTATACCTCATATATTATGTGAGCTCGAGCACGAGCATGACATAGTTTTTCGAATTGTCGAGCCACTATATTAATATTAATTAATACTTGAGCCTTTTTTTTTTCAAAATTCAAAATAAGAAATTGAACCCCAAAATGAGTCAATTTCGAGCTTTCTTATCAAGCTCGAACATTCGAGTCTAGCTCAAGCTCATATTTTTCACCCCCAGTGAGCTCAAACTCGATATAAATTAAATGAGGTCAGCTCGATTGAGCAAGAATTTGACTCGACTCACTCATTTATTCTCCTATATATTTCATAAGAGTCAACCTAATCAAAACAAGATCAACATATCCTAATTCATTTTTTCTTATTATAATTTATATATTTATGTCCTAATTCAAAGTACTTTTATGAAGTAAGGTATCATAATACAAATGTTTCAAATTAAAGCTTAATCTTATATGGCCTTTATTTATTTTATTTTATTTTTTATTATCAGAACTTTTAATATTATTTTTCAGCCATTTTTCAATTTTATTTTCATGGAAATAAGTTTTAAATGTATACTATGTTAAAAAACATAAATTATGACTTTGTTTATTGTTTAATTTTTATATAAAACTGAAAGAAACCTAAATAATGAAATTGTTTGGGGCAAAGAGAATAAAAACATTCCTGGGATTGGGACTGGAGAAAGCTTGCCATGCTGATTGGGGGGGTATTATTAAATGGATAAATTTGTAATATTATATTTTTAATAGAGGCAGACTGTGACACCAATCATAGTGGGGCACAAGTGAGGTAATAAAAGTAAAAAAGAAAGGACTAATAAATAAAATTATTAAATTGTTGGGCTCATATGATTAATAACAAGAATTCTCTTAGGACTTATTTAGTCTGATTGATAGGGTTGACAAAATATCAATTTTAATATAGTTTTAAAGATATAAAAATGATTTTAATGTAATTTTCAGAATTTATAAATGATGAAACTGTCTATCTCAAAATTTATAAATATGCATAATGTTTTAAAATTTTTAAAAAAATTTATGAAAAATGAATTCTATATTCATATTGGAAACTTTATTCTTCTTTATGATCAAGCGAAGGGTCATGCAAACTATATTCTTATATCTAACGCTCGACAACTATCATCGCTTATCATACGACATTAGCATTTGCTATACTTCGACGCTGAAGACCAACGACTGCAATCACCTATCAATTAACAGTCTAACACGAATGAGCAACTGACAGCATTGTTTATCACACTCCAACTTTCAACATCAATGACAAAAAAAATTTTACTTCATAAAAAGTAGTTTACTTTAAATAAAAATATAACTAAAATAAAATATTAAAATTATTCTAAACATCCCTTTAATTAATGATTATAATTTGAGTAATTAATTATTTTAAGTATGTTTATTTTCTTGCTTTCAAGAACTTTTTATACTAAAAATAATTTTACAAAATCATAAAAAAGACGTCCCAAATGAATCCTCAGGCAACAAGCTATGGGTAGAGAGAACTATTATAGTGAATAGCATCTCTACAAAGAGGTGAATATGTAGAATATATCAATCATGCTTTGGTTCCAATAATGCCAAAGCACTTATAGGACAAGCTTTTACTATAATTATTGGTTGGGTTGCCATAGACTTCTCAATCCAACCATAATGGTTGCATTATTGAAGAGCTAGAAGGAGAGCGAAAAGTCCTAAGAGATTATGACATGCGGAGTCTGGATCTAGAAAATCCTTCGGTTTTGTGACTGTGAGCGGTAGAAGCATAGCCTAAAATTATTTTGTGCAGACGCCGAACGTCATCCGGAGACCAACCAGAATACACCATGTTACACCTTCGCTCGGTACCGCGGCTTGCTCAGTACTGCTTACATGGCTCATTTTGATTGGTTTCTGGATATCATTCTGTATCGGCCTCCGCACATAATATTTTCTCCTAATTCAAAGCACATTTGTTGAAAATAAATTTAAGAACCTTAATAATTCCCAGGGCCCACCCTATCAAAATAATAATAATTTAATTATTACCTAAATGATCCAAACCCTTATTCAGTTCACACAAAGCCCTACAAAAAAGGTTTTTTTTTTTTTAATTATTCAAAGCCAAAAAAGGGTTCCTATAAATATATATAAAATAATAAAGGAGCCAAATTGCCTTTTAAATGGTCTATTTCTAACTTTTTCAGAAATTTGACTTTTTTTATAATGGCTCTTAAAGTAGAAATTTCTGATTGTTTTGGAAATGATTCAGATTTGTCTTTTTCTTCTTAAAAATATCATTTTTTTTAATATAAATAGAAATTAATTAGGTCTTATTTTGCTTTTATATGATAAAAATTTTATGCAAATATAATTCAATTGTTAATAATTATGATTAATTGTTATGCTAATCTTAATTGTTTATTTATATAAATTTTTTTTATTAAGTTTAGCTTAGAGCATCTCCAACTGAAAATTTCATTTTTCACGGCAAAGTAACGCAAAACTTCAAAATGGCGCGGTGATGCATTTATTATGTACAACTGTGTATGAAGCGACATAACGCATCCTGATTGACCTCCAGATGATCCGTTGACTGCACGTAATAATTTCTCCTAAAATGAAAGATGAATTATTCTTTTTCTTTTTCTTTTTTCTATTTAACATTTTACCTTTTTGCCCCGCTCCATAAGCAAGCAATAAAGCGCCTTATTACACGCTGGAATCGCACAAAACACTGAACAGGAATCAAAAGGTCTGTGATAATGGTCCAATTTTATGATTTTAAAAAAAAAAATTGCAAATAAATTTAAGTTTCAAAATATAAATTTGCAAAAATAATTCTGAGTAATTACATTCTTATTCAATTCAACCTGTTGAAATGAAAAATAGAATAACCATTAGGTTTTAGGAATGATAAATTATTTTACAACAAGTGCAATATATAAAAAATTATATTGCACTCAGTCAAAATATATGAAGTCTTTGATCATATGAAATAAATAAATAAATGGTGTCAAGATATCATGATGTAAAATGCATTATGATGAATTCAAAAATTATTGAATTTGCATTGAGATTAGTGCGATGCAAACTTCATCTACAACACTAATCTCAAAGCAAATCTAATAATTTTTAAGCCTATCATAATAATAAGAGTTGCATCAGGACATAATGATGCAGCTCTTAAAAATTATTGAATTTACTTTGAGATTAGTGAGATACAAACTTCATATACATCATTAATCTCAAAGCAAATCTAATAATTTTTCAGCCTATTATAATAATAAGAGTTGTATCATGACATCCTGATGCAGTTCTTAAGAAGATTGAATATACACTACAATAAGAACATAATTTCATTGATAATTTACAGAATAGCAAATTCAGGACTAAGATTAGAAAATATTTGGAACAAATGAAGCCAAAAAGAATAAATTTCCAAGCTCAAACCTGCAATCAAATCAACTGGAAGAAGCAGCTTTAGCTTCTGAAAAGTTTATCTCACCAATCAAATCACCAGACATTGCTGAAGGTATTCTATGTCGTTTAAGAATCCTAGAAGTTGCCAGTTTGGAATTTCTGTAGTTCAAAACAATCACTCTTTCATCATCTAAATCAAACCTCAAGTTCTCTTCCTGGCAGCTTTCCACAAGGCTGCACAAATGTTTCAGATTGTCAACCTGTATTCCATTCACCTTCTTCACCTGGAACAGAAGAATGGTTACTTTCAGATGGTATAAGAAAAGAAAATTTTATCATGAGAGATTGATTGATTACCTGCAAGTCTGAGAGCCTCTCATATCCAGTGTTAATGTCATCCATTAGAACCTGAATTAAGAAAAGCATCATTTATTTGAGAGATGGAGACAAGCATATGCTGGATTAACCATACATCTTTATGATTGTTAATGATTTGATCTTAAGCTGATCCGACAAGGGATCAATAATGGCTTGCAGTTATTAAGGCTTCATTTGGGACGACTTTCTTATTGCTTCTTAAAGTACAAAAAAATTTAATTTTCATACTAAAAAGTAGTTTTAAGAAGCAGATTACAATCAATGGCTAAGTATTTATAGACATGTAGCAACATAAAAGGCTACACTCAAGAGAACGAACGCGCTATACTTACATGTTACACCCCTGCGGAATTTAACTAGTCTGAAATTAACATATTTTAAACAGCTCAGCTCTGACGTCCAAGCCTAAATCTGGACTCTAGCTAAGCTGAGCCATGTTTAAGGCTTCGTTTGGGAGGATTTTTTTACTGCTTCATGAAGCAACTTTCTAGTATAAAAACTAAAAATTTTGTACTAAAAAGTTGCTTTAAGAAGCAGTAAAAAAGCCGTCTCAAACGAATCCTAAGTTTAGCTCATCTATTTTCAATTTGATTTAGGCATAACCCATTGACTTTGATATGAGTTTGATTTAAAGCCTAAACTCGATACAATCTCAATTAATTTTTAATCTTTTAAGGCAAATTCTTAGCCCAATATATAGACATCATAGCTCAATCTAATGAACACTCAGCTCAATTCCAGTTCAATATGAGATGGATTTGGCTCGTAACCGGCTCATTGGCTTCAATCCGAGCTCAATTCAATTTATAAAATGAACCAATCTTCGAGTACTCTTTTATCTTCAAGCCAATTCACCACCATATGAATTTATAGCTATCCATTTAGGATGCAAATAAATCAAATAAACATAATATTTATCTTGACCTCCTAACAAAACTCTTGACAACAATTATTGCAGAGAGATCCTCTCAAGTAAATAATATTCTTTTAGCTTTTTTAAATTTGAAATACACACAATTTGTTCATTACCTGAGAAAGAATGACTAACTGTTCCCCGGCCTTTTTAGGCAATTCTCGTAATGCGCGTTCACATAGCCGGCGAGGCGAAGTGTTGTACCAGTCATCCCCATACTCATGAAGATAAGGCTGCGTCAATGGTATAAAGACCAGACCAGCAAAAATATAGTAACTTGGTAGTTTATCAAACTGCTGAACAGGAACCAATGGCTGTTGCTGCATATTACAAGGCTTTATATGTCATTATATTTCTTTCATAGTTCAAGAAAATTTTCCAGCTGTAGGCCATGTCTATTGTTTAACCAGAATGAGAAAGATATCTAATCATACAAACAAAATAAACAAAACTCAACAAAACAATGCTGTAAAAGTAAAAAATAAGAGGCATTATTTACTATTCATTTGTCTCAGGCCTAATTTGATGGGACATTTTTTATGTTTATTCCTTTTCAAAACGGTAAATTTATTTATTCTTTATTGTTTGATTCCTCAAACCACGTTCCCAATAACACAATTTTTTTATTTTTCTGTTGTTTTAAAAAAGTTTTTTATATATGCTTCTCAGTTAGAAAACTTCTTTCTCTGAACCGATGTTTCTTAAAACTACCTTTTACAAAATTACCGATTAACCAAACGAAGCCTCAATGTACTTGCTCTATAACTCTAATATTTAGAGGCTAAAAACAAAACTAGAAACATTTTTTGGTTGAAAGAAGTCTTTATATGTCATTCAAAATGCAATAAATCTTGCCAATTGTAGCCAAAATATGAAGTGTTTAACCAGAATGAGTAAGATGTAATCATCCAAGCAAAGTAAACCCTAAAACACAATAGCTCTAGTTAATACTATAGCTCTTCAGTATTTAGTAACCAAAAACAGAACTAGTAACATACGTTGGTTGAAAATTTTCCAGAACCGAAAGTTTAAATAAAAATTATCAATGATAAAGATGCATCCCAGTGGCTATATATGGCAAAGGTATCATAACCTCAAAAATCACCATGGACAAGAGTAGCTTCACTCACAGGTTGAAGGGAAATGCTGAGTTCATGCACCATGCCATTTCTAAGCACTCTGAGAAGAGCTTTCTCTGCTGGTTTCTTCATAGAAACAAGGTGATCAAACGTTATCCTCTCCCTATTTCGGAACGGCACTGTAGAGCGAAAATCGCCAAACTGGTTAAATAATGGAAGCATTTATATTCCCATCTACAGAATATTTAAAGAAAATGGGCATATTATGTTAGAAAATACAGTAGAAGATGAGTAGAAGATTGATTAACCTGTTCCATCATTTGCTATAGGCACACCATCAAAGGCTAGAATAATATCATCTTTCTCCAATATATTGAAAGCGTTAGAAAGAGGATTGATTTTGCTAACAAGCACACCAGTCATTTCTAGATGCATGCGGAAGTGCTCTCTTAACTGTGCATTTTCAGTAGGCTGGCATGATAAACCAAGAGAACAAAACCCAATATATTTTCCGTTCTCTTTCACTCCAGATAAGAAATGCTTGATAATAGGGACAGGTATGATGTACCTACGAGAACAAATAATGTTTAAAGCTATTGGTACATTTCAAAAGTTCTAAAACAGTTAGAAGTTCAATGAGCCACTCTCGGGCACAGCCGCACTTTGATAGGAAGTACTTGAGTTTGCAAGCAAACATAGCAAGAATCGGCAAAAACAGTGAGTAAAAGGGCTGATTTCAATGAGAAATCAGTAAGAACAAAGCAGGAATTTGAGTGGATTGGAGAAGAAAACACAAGGAAAGTACTTTGATTCAAACGACAAACAAGAAACACAAAACAAGATACAATTTTCTTCAATTCGAGAGGAAGAAATATTCTCCAAATCTCTAGCAAACCTAGAGCCCAAGAACACAAACCCTAGTTCTCAAAATTGCATTCAATTCAAGATGACCCTAACCCTAACCTCCAAAAGACTAATTAAAGCCAAAGTTTACAAAATTCCTAAACAGCCCCTAATTCAAATATTCCCTCCTAATCGCTATTTAAAATAGCAAGTGGTCCCCATTAAGGCATCCACCCCCCTCCCTGGTTCCGCCCCATGCTGGGCCACCGGCTGTAGACCTGAACCGGTCCATGTTGGACCGGTTCAGCCGGCCCCCCTCCTGGGCCGGCCACGTAACACACTTCTAATGGTAAACTTGTAACCACAAAGAAGAAAATAAAAATATAACCATTTTAGCATACAAATGACCTTTTCCTCGGATAAAATGCAAATTATGCTTAACAAGCTTTTCAATTCTGGGTAAAATGTTTTGGCAGTATTCTCTAATTTTATTTTTGGTCCCTTTATTTCCATCTATAATGGCCTTACCATTAAAGCATCGTTGCAGCTGACCTTCTTTAATAAATCAGTATATGGCAACGTAGCTATCAGTCAAAATTTCCTACTTTGTTGAAATATATTCCAAGACTTGGAAGCTTATTGTTTGGGTTTTAAATTTGAGATTGCTGACTTGAAACATATAGTTTTTTAATAGATCTTAGAAGATTCAGAGGAAATTTTATTTTGGGGCCTTTAAGTGATATAAATAAGACCCCTGAAACGTATAAAAATTAAAGAACATTGAATAGTAAAATAAGATCTCACCAAAATTCTTTCCTGTGTTATTGGATGCAAGTTCTTCAAGTAGTTTGCAGGTCTTTCAGACCTTTTTCTGGGAGTGAGATCAGTACACAATTATGAGGTATGGATCTCACACTGTGATTTTTTATCTTTGCCCTTTCTGCTAACTTGTTTAGTGATTGGTTTATGAGGGTGATTGAAATTTTGTCAAGTTAAATGCCTTCTATTTTTTATTTTGTGATGTGTCACCGCAGAACTTTATAATTGCTTAATTTTCTTGTGAATTTTCATACTTAGCAACTATTAAATTATTGTTTGAAATGAAATAAGTGTGTTTGTTAATTTGCATCAAAGGTGACCAAGCTTTGATAAAATCTAAAGTTGGTAATATGTGTATTACATTTTTTATATATTTATCTATGTATCTCCTCCTAAGTTTACATTACTAAACCCTAAACTCCCTAACACATCCTAAATCACTAGATATCATCTCCATGTACTTCCTTTGTGCAATGACATGATAATTAGCCTTATTTATAAATTGAGAATAAATAAAATCTTACCTAATTAAGGCATTTTTAATCCACTAATACAATGTGTTACTGATTTCACATATGAATCCTCTACTTTGCCAAGAGTACATCTATAGTTAGTTTTTACACAATATTACTAGAGAAGATTATTGATGCTTCCTCCAAAAAATCATACGAATACTCCCAAAAAATACCTCATCATTTGATAATATGTATCTAATGAGATATCTGATTAGAATTGAAAACTCTACATATGCAATCACTAACATATGGAACTTTGTAACCCAGGGACTTGTCTCCATTGGAATAACCATGGAGTTCAACTTTGGTAAGTATCGATAATTTTTATGTTTATGTCCTTAAAGTTTAGAAGGTTTTCCATCAATTATTTAGGCAACTTGAGTCATTTTATGCCATTTGCACCTCAAGACTTTTTTTTCTATTTTTCCAAGAATATTTAGTCATTTCTTATTAGGTTTCTTAGATTTTTAATTAGGATCAGAATCTATAATGATACTTAATTATTTATGAATGAAAAATAAATCTGACTTTTTCTTTCAAATATAAGATTTGATATGATGATTTGCCATTTCATCTAACCTACCTCTTGAAATTGCACCAAGAACACATGCATGCAAGGAACCTTATGCCTCCAAGGCAAAAAGGTATGATATTTACAATACAATAACTTGAATTTTTGTTCTTTGAAAGCTACTAGCAACATGTGGAAATCCTCTCCATTCACCCAGTTAGGAAAGTAGATGTCTTAGATTTGACTTATATTAAGAAAGGTAGCAGTAGACCTAAAAATACTTAAAATGCTTGATAATAGGGACAGGTATGATGTACCTACGAGAACAAATAATGTTTAAGGCTATTGGTACATTTCAAAAGTTCTAAAACAGTTAGAAGTTCAATGAGCCACTCTCGGGCACAGCCGCACTTTGATAGGAAGTACTTGAGTTTGCAAGCAAACATAGCAAGCATCGGCAAAAACAGTGAGTAAAAGGGCTGAATTCAATGAGAAATCAGTAAGAACAAAGCAGGAATTTGAGTGGATTGGAGAAGAAAACACAAGGAAAGTACTTTGATTCAAACAACAAATAAGAAACACAAAACAAGATACAATTTTCTTCAATTCGAGAGGAAGAAATATTCTCCAAATCTCTAGCAAACCTAGAGCCCAAAACACAAACCCTAGATCTCAAAATTGCATTCAATTTCAAGATGACCCTAACCCTAACCTCCAAAAGACTAATTAAAGCCAAAGTATACAAAATTCCTAAACAACCCCTAATTCAAATATTCCCTCCTAATCGTTGTTTAAAATAGCAAGTGGGCCCCATTAAGGCGTCCACCCCCCTCCCTGGTTCCGCCCTGTGCTGGGCCACCGGCTGTAGACCTAAACCGGTACATGTTGGACCGGTTCAGCCGGCCCCCCTCCTGGGCCGGCCACGTAACACACTTCTAATGGTAAACTTGTAACCACAAAGAAGAAAATAAAAATATAACCATTTTAGCATACAAATGACCTTTTTCTGGGATAAAATGCAAATTATGCTTAACAAGCTTTTCAATTCTGGGTAAAATGTTTTGGCAGTATTCTCTAATTTTAATTTTGGTCCCTTTATTTCCATCTATAATGGCCTTACCATTAAAGCATCGTTGCAGCTTACCTTCTTTAAGAAATCAGTATAGGGCAACGTAGCTATCAGTCAAAATTTCCTACTTTGTTGAAATATATTCCAAGACTTGGAAGCTTATTATTTGGGTTTTAAATTTGAGATTGCTGACTTGAAACATATAGTTTTTTAATAGATCTTAGAGGATTCAGAGGAAATTTTATTTTGGGGCCTTTAAGTGCTATAAATAAGACCCCTGAAACGTATAAAAATTAAAGAACATTAAATAGTAAAATAAGATCTTACCAGAATTTTTTCGTGTTATTGGATGCAAGTTCTTCAAGTAGTTTGCAGGTCTTTAAGATCTTTTTCTGGGAGTGAGACCCGTATACAATTATGAGGTATGGATCTCAAACCCGGCGATTTTTTATCTTTGCCCTTTCTGCTAACTTGTTTAGTGATAGGTCTATGAGCGTGATTGAAATTTTGTCAAGTTAAATGCCTTCTATTTTTTATTTTGTGATACGTCACCGCAGAACTTTATAATTGCTCAATTTGCTTGTGAATTTTCATAATTTAGATTGTTTGAAATGAAATATTTGTGTTTGTTAATTTGCATCAAAAGTGACCAAGCTTTGCTAAAATCTAAAGTTGGTAATATGCGTATTACATTTTATATATGTTTATCTATGTATCTCATCTTAAGTTTACATTACTAAAACCTAAACTCCATGACACATCCTAAATCACTAGATATCATCTCCATGTACTTCCTTTGCGAAGTGGCATGAATACCCTCAAAAAATACCTCATCATTTGATAATATGTATCTAATGAGATATCTGATTAGAATTGAAAACTCTAAATCACTAACACATGGAACTTTGTAACCCAGGGACTTGTCGCCATTGGAATAACCACGGAGTTCAACTTTTGTAAGTATTGATAATTTTTATGTTTATGTCCTTAAAGTTTAGAAGGTTTTCCATCAATAATTTAAGCTACTTGAGTCATTTTATGTCATTTGCACCTCAACACTTTTTTCTATTTTTCTAAGAATATTTAGTCAATTGTTATTAAGTTTCTTAGTTTTTTAATTAGGATCAGAATCTATAATGATATTTAATTATTTATGAATGAAAAAGAAATCTGACTTTTTCTTTCAAATATAAGATTTGATATGATGATTTGCACCATCTCATCTAACCTACCTCTTGAAATTGCACCAAGAACACATGCTTGCAAGGAACCTTATGCCTCCAAGGCAAAAAGGTTTGATGTTTACAATACAATAACATGAATTATTGTTCTTTGAAAGCTACAAGCAACATGTGGAAATCCTCTCTGATGACCCGGTTAAGAAAGCAGATGTATTAGATTTGACTTATATCAAGAAAGCTAGCGGTTGACCTAAAAATACTTATTTAGAAAATATTATAAATGACCTTTCTTTATTAGATTTAGATGAGAATTTGATTCTTAATAGGACAAGATGAAGAAAAGGGATTCATGTAGCCAAGCCCACATAGTGGGATAAAGGCTTGTTGTTGTTTGTTCAAAGCTACGAGCAACATCAAAAGGACGAGCCCCATGGCCTGCGAAATTTATGAACTTTTCTATTTTTAAAAGCTAAAAGCAACATAAAAAGGGCACAAATATAAACTTAATTTATATTACTATTTTAATAACTATTTATGATAAATTTTGCACAGCTCAAACTTATTTTATTTCTGCATTATTGAGAATATTCATCTTTTTTTTCTCTCGAATTTAGGCAAATATGCTTATACTATCAAATTAATTACGTAAAAATGTAATCATATCCAATTCTCTCACTTCAAACATCATATCTAATTCATGGTCCAGAGCCATTCCAATTTTCTTTAAAAAATTTACCGCCAATGCCACACTCCACAAACTACCTACCTCCACTGGCCTGCACACTCCTCTCTCTGATTGGACCTGTGACACCCTTCTATGTCTACAGGTTTCTCTTTCAGCGAGATCTCTCAAATGTAATCCTCTCCAATGATCCACCACTTGCTTGCACTAAACTATCATGATCGACCTTCTTTGATCATTATCATGTTCATATATGGATTCCTTATCTTCCCAAAATGCTAGAGTCATTTCTTCGCCTAAATCACGTTGTAGCCACATTCTAAGAGTGCCCATCACCTACGCTCACTAATGGGAACTGGATGCCAACAAACCTGCAAACATTGCCGTTAGCCACTAAGGTACTTGGCCTCCTCCAGTTCTCAGAAATTCAACTCAGCAATATCCCTATGCTCTGTGGTGGTGACTCTATCAATGGCATTACTCCTTACTACATCAACCTCTCTATTAACGCTCGCTATCAATATTATTTGTCAATATCTCTATCATCACTCTCTCTATATATACCACTATTTAAGGATCTTATTTGTCTTATCTAAAACGAATCTTATAACCAAAACTTTTCATCTGATTGGCACAGCTCTTTCTTTCACCTATCAATTGCACTCATCTTATGATATGTCGGTTCAATGTGAACCGGCCCAGCCAGCCCAAAGGGGGCCGGCTCAGTTTGTTTACAGGAGGCGGACTCCTTCCGCCTCCTCTCATGGTTCTCCGCCCAAAGGGGTGAGCCCCATTAGTCCAAACGAATTCAAATGGAAAAGGAGTGGGCGGCTAGGGCTTGGGAGGAAAATTAAATTAGGAAAACTTTTGTATTAAAGGGGAGGAGAGGATTAGGGATGATTATGTTTTGATTGATTGCAATTAGGGTTCTTAGCGACTTGGGCTTTAGACTCTCTTGTCTAGAGATTTGGGAGAGACGATCCTCCTTTCGAATTGAGGATCTCTTGTATCTTTGCTTTGTTCTTGTTTCCCTTCGTTTTCTATAAGATTTGCTATTGTTTGATTGTTCTTCACGACGATTTCTTTGTTTTCTCGCTGTTTTTTACCGATTATTGTTAGGTTTGCTTGCGAACTCAAGTAGATCCAATAAGATTACTTGCGAACTCAAGTATTTCCTATCATCTTGCAAGGCTCATAACCTTTGGGAAATAAAGCATTCGACTATTTCATCTCTAGCCCCTGTTATTTATAAAACTCAAGTTGATTATTTTTTATGCCACCATGAATTTGTTGGGTAGTGATACAATGTCTAAATAATAACATAGGTTAAGCATTAATTATTGTTATGTTTTCTCATTGATGAGAATATTATCTTATATTAGTTTCTAGCCCATATTTAGGCATATATATGCGTGTACTATCAAAATAGCAAATGAAAAACTCATAGTTCCAATTCTATACCTTCTGTCAATTTACAATGCCAAAAAACAAAAGAATAAAAAGGTGCAACAAAAGTATGGTAACTCAATGGGAAGCTAAAAATATAGTTAAGGGAGAATATAGGATAGTCACAGGGTATCTTAAGATCTGCAACAACAAGAGCCAGAATTATAACATATAGTGAGTGCTCTAGATCAATGTAAGAAGATAGAAGCATTTTGGCAAAAACTTTACTTGCCACTCAGCTCAAGATATGTGATCATTCTTGTCAAAATATTAAGAAGCGTCGTAGTGTCAAATGATTTTGGCAAAGGGAGCATTCATTGAAATATATTAATATTAATAACTTTTGACTAGACACTCAATTACATTGAGAGAAATCAAAATATGACAATTAGGAAGACGAGCCACCAAGAAACATTTTGATAGGTCGGTTCATCTAGAACTGACCCAGCCAGCCCCACTTGGGCCGGCAATGGTCTACAAGAGGCAGTTCAAACTGCCCCCTTGGGTTGCCGCCTAACATAAGGGCCCACACCCTATTTGAATTAATTTAAAAAAATATAGTATTTTAGGCAAGGGGAGGGCGGTTATGGCTAGGGCTGAGGGCTATAAATAGGTATGAAGGGGAAGGGTAGGGTATGCTTTGGTTATTGTTTTCTTGTAGTCACTTTGACGTCTTGGGCTCTATACTCTTGTCTATAGATTTGGGAGAGACGATCCTCCTCTCAAATAGGGGATCATTTGTATCTTTCTTTGTGTTTGACTTGAATTTGATTATATAATCAAAGTTACTGTTTTTGAGGGATTTCTTCATCGTTCTTGTATTATTTTCACTGTTTTCACCAATTATTGATAGGGTTGCTTGCGAACTCAAGTATTTTCCTATCACATTTCAATCTACCTGAACTCACCCAATATTTTCCGCACCTGAAAGGTTTTGAAAAGCCACTCCAGCAACCTTATCACCCATGATTGCAGGCCCCCCACTATTTCCTGGGTTGATAGCTGCATCTATTTGGATAGCCATAAGCTGTGCAGCGCCATGGACATATTGCGTTGGCTCAACTCTTGAAACAACACCTTTGGTGACAGAGATGTTATCTCCACCTGCATCATGACCACTTCATAAGCATTGTTTCATCTTAAGCAAGAACGATGAACTACAAATAGAATTATGAATTTCAAACTCGGAATTATTAGTATCAAACTTTACCTTGAGGGTATCCGACGACAGCAACTGCTTCCTGCAAAAATGGAATATCACCTAGATCCAAGAAACTCATCCCCTCCCAAAATTCTTCACTATCAACAGTGAGAAGTGCTAAATCACATTCATGGCCTACAGCCTGAACTTCTGCTTTGTACTTTGTAGGTGAACCATGCTTTCTTACAAGAACAAATGTGTGATCAGCTACTACATGAGCGTTGGTTAGAATTTGTCGTCCAGAAATCACAAACCCTACATATTATAAAGGCGTAAATTAAGATTCTTTAGTATTTTGCTTGAAAGAACATGTTGCATATTAAATTTTTTGACAGCTAAAAGAATCAATGCCTTTGTGAGATCTTAACATAAATATTCAATATGGTTTAAGACGAAATTTATATGCATGGAACGCAAGAATCACATCTTGAAGGAAGTTTCACAAGAGCACTGAGCTTTCAAGATAAAAAATAGCAACAAAGAACAGCTCCAATGGATGCTTATCAAAAAAACATTTTTAAATAAACTGCCCACACGTAATGAGCAACAATAGTCATGATTGACATTGATGCAAGTAACTAAATAATACCCAACTAGAAACCGATAATGACCTTAACAATTCTACCACATGAGAACCGACAACACAACTCCCCTGATTACTTCTTCATAAGCTATGCTAGATAAGGCTTCATTTTAAAAGTCCAGAAGAGCTTTATAAATTTTATGATTGCACAATTATCAAGGATGTTCTAGTTTCTGGATACAAATATAATCTAAAGATAAATGAAACTTCTTTTTTAGTGTGTAGTATGATCAAGCAAAATGACTTTTTTCCAAGAAAATCCGTCCAAATGAAGTGCTCAAACTCTCTCCAAACGATTATGCAAATTTTAAGCAACAAGAAAGTACTATCACAGTGCAAGCTAAATCAACATTTAATGTGCAGGATCAAACATAAAGTCTCTCACTGAACAAAACAAACTCCTTTACTTCTGTATTATCCGGCCATTGTTTAGTTCCCAGATTAGTATCCAAAAAGCAGATAAGATCAGATCTTTCAACTACTTTATGAATGAATCATGAAATCATCCGTTCAATTGAAACCAGTATATAGAGCTCTTGCTCCACTCAAATGCAAAATTGAGAAACATTCAGGCTACAATTACCAGAGCCCGTACTCTCCCTCTGAGATTTGTTCTGCCACGGAAGAAAGTAATTGGGGCTGCATGAAACTGTGAAGACCTTCACAACCGAATCAAGAGCAAGCTCTATGGCCGCATATGCATCAGCATACTGATATCTTACAGGAACATCTTCCACCTCCAAAACATGACGACTGATAGCGCTGCAGCTGACGCTTGCTTTTTCCGGAGCAACGACGGCGGAAGCGGCGGAGCAGAGAGAGGAAGAGAGAGAGATTGGGAGGAGGAGAGGTGAGGATTCTCGGAGGAAAGGCGGCAAGTGACCATGGAAGAGGCTCCGGTGGGCGGTGAGTCGTCGGAGGGAACGCAGAGAGACGAGCATAGCGGGCCGGGGGATTGGGGTTCAGTAGCGACGAGAGCGAAAGGTCAGATTTCTACAAAACTACAACGACAAAATGCTTCGCCGAGATTCGTGCTGAAGAAATCTTTGTTTTGGTATTTAAATAATAGTGATCCAAGAAAAAATTATTAGATTCTATCACAATAATTTCGCCGAGATTCTTCGTGAAGCAGTATACATGAAGTTAAATATAAAATATAAAATGTTTTTATTTTATTTTATTTTTTTGAAGCTCTAGAAATGTGTATATTAAAAAAATGAGGGATTTATATACATATCATTTCATTTCATATTTATATATCTATTACCTAAAATTTTAATATTATATGTCTAACATCCATAAAATAAATATGAGTGTATAAAAAATAAATCATGATCGAACATGAAGCTCTAGGCAAAATCAAGTTGGAAACTTTTGAAATTAAATTTGTGACCGCTTGAGCTCCGATTTCAACAAACTTATATTTGTAATGAACGTCTCGAAAAGACGAACCTGACGATATCAAATTTGACACAATTCAAACTCGAATGGGCCAAAATCGAAGACTCGAAGAACATTTAGAAGGTTCAAATTATAAATTAGATGACTAAAAGATTTTCAAATGTGACATGCTTATAGTCAAATTGAGTGGTTCGATAAGACAAAACCAACTAGTCTAAAATAGTTGAATACTAGCATCATTAAGGTACTAAAATACTCAATAAATAGTGCATGATCAAGGAAGTTGATATCGGTAGTCCATTTAAAACACTCCCCAACATGCTCTTGATCTTCTCCTTGTTTATTGGCCATGTCATTCACAAAAAAAAAATTATAAATAGCTCATCATTCTTCACATGAAGGGGAAGAAACTAGAGAAAACAAGGAAGAAAGTAAAGGAAGATAAATCAGAGTAATATTGCCACCATACTCTTCCTCTGTAAATGCTTGTGATATTCATTGGAAACCTCTTTTTCCTTAGGTTGGATTAAGAAAAGAAATTAAGGATAAGTGGGAGAAGGTTTTAGGAAGCCTATAAAAGAAAATTATGAAACATAAAGTTTACTTTGGCAAGAGGTTTAAATTGAGTTAAATTTTCTTTAGGTGGTGGCAAGAAGGAGAAGAATAATTAAAGAGGAGAAGAGGAGTTCATAAATTTTGAGGTAGGAATTCTTTTCCTTACATGTCCATTTGTAGTTTTATGCTTATATCATTTGTTAAACTTTTATGACATGAATTGAGAAATGGAATAGTTGTTACCCATGCAATACACATGCAATATAGTTATTTCATTGTTTCTTTCATGCTTAAGTGTAATTATGATAAGTCATTTCATTCATGATTAGAGATTCATGTCACACATTAGTTCATGGAAATACATAATTTTATATGAAAAGGAAGGAATTATGAAAGGAAGGAAAGAATGTATGTTTATATGAAACAGATATATATATGAATGTGCATGATTGATTACGGAGTACCAAAGATGGTGCCAAAGGCACATATGAGCAATATGGGAACATTATGGCCCTTGGGGCAAAAGAGGAAAAAGGAATAAATGGCCAAAAGAGGTTTGTGTACCTGATCAGTACACCCCTGGTACTCCGAGACGGTTGTATATATTAAATAAGTAAGCATTTTAATATGATACTCATTTTATATGCACATCTTTATATCAAATGACATATGCATAGAACATCTAAATTATCTCTCATTCATATGACAAACATGATTGCATGAGCATGTTTAGGATTAGAATTTCTATTGAGCGTTAGCTCACTCCCTAGTTTTGGGAAATTTCAGGAGAACCTGGTAGAAGAGATGGCTGACAACCCGAGGTTTACTTATAGTCGTCGTACTCCGGGTGACAGGTTCATTTATTGTAGTTTTACTTGTTGTACTTCCTATCTTTTGGATGGCTTATCCTAGCATGTTTAATTTGAAGTTAGCCATCTGGTATATTTTGAAAACACTTTTTGGAATGATAAAAAAAAATGTTTAAAGGCGCTTTTTGTCTACAAAAGATTTCATTGAATAGTTTTATTTACTTGAAGAATGATTAGTTACTTATATTACATGTCCGATCTCGTTCCCGCCTTGTATCTACGAGCTAACCGGGCCGGGTCGTGACATCCTCGACCACTGCCCCGCCACCGATCTTCACGCAGGCTTTCGCTGGATTTCCTCCCGGTCATCGACTGTCTCCGAACTTCCTCATGACCACCAGTTATCGCTTGACTTATACATAGCAACTAAAGTCGGATTTACACCTAGCCACTAACTGTCACAGGATTTCAGCCCAACCACAGGTTGTCACAAAACTTCCACCGACTAATGTCGAATTTACACCCTTCCACAGACCGTTGTCGAACATCTGCCCAGCCACCAATCATTGTTGGACTTCTTCCTAGCAACTAGTTGTCACTCTACTATGATCTTTCCGACCTCCATCTCTTGTTGATAATGGTCCTTCCAACAACCTTTACTCGATTATGATCTTTCTAATCTCTATAGTCTGACTGTGGTCCTCTATCACCCAATTACGTTCTTCTCACTTTTTTTCCTTCAAAAAAAAAAAAAAAAAAAACCACTTTATCCCCACTGAAGTCTTTCTAACCGCCATCACCCGTCGACTATAGTTCTTCCGACCTCCATCTCCTAATTACGGCCTTTGTGACCACCTTCGCCTGACTGTAGTCTTTCTGACCACCATCATCCGACGACTACAGTCCTTCTGACCTTTATTGCCCAATTACGATCTTCCTAAGCACTTTCATCCGATTATGGTCTTTTCTAACCATTGTTGCCCGCCGACTACGATTTTTCCGACCTCCATCACCCAATTACAATCTTTCCGAACACCTTCGTATGACTACGATCTTTATGACCTCAGTCACCCACCTACTATGGTTCTTCCGACCATCGTCACCTTACTACGGTCTTTCCGACCTGCGTCGCCTGCCTATTATGGTACTTCTAACCAAACAAATATGTCAACACTAATTCTTCCAATTCTCACCATGTAATGCACTCTATATGATATATATTTGCTACATCGAGCAAAGGCATTCTTCCCAAGGAAGGGCCTAATTTCTAAACAAATGCAAATACTAGTGGATTCATTTAAGCTGGGCAATGTCCCGTGAGTTCTCTCCCTTTTAAGTGGTTTCCTCATAATAACTCCAGTGTCTCTTATGAACAAAACACCGTTCTCTTTTTATTTGTATGTGTATTGGATCTTCTAACGAAGCTAAGGCACTAAACTTGATATTTCTCCACCAACGCGAATATTCTATGATGTAACAAATCTTACTAACTAGTCAAAAAATTCACTTGGGTTGAAAGAATATTTGGAGGTATTTAAATTAGAAACTTTCAAAATTAAATTCATGACCATATAAAATCATTAAGATATTAAAATGCCAGATAAAATATATATAATCAAAGGGATCAAATATGAATGGTTCGATTGAGTGTTTTAAATTATGATCAAATTTATCAAAACATCACTGTCAAAAAGGGGATTAGTACGGTTCGTTTAAGAGCTTAGACAACTAGAAATCATATTATATTTCCTAACAATCATAATTGATGACCACCATCAATAATTGGCGCCACTATCGTCTAGCTATCATCATCATGCCATTAACATCCACCCTATTATCGAACATTAACTGTGTACTTAGTACATCAATAATAAAAATAATAATAATTTAAAATATGCAATTTAGTTTTCTTCAATTGCAGGGAATAGGAATGTGTTGCTGACCAAAAAAAGAAATCGCAGATGCGGAAAATGAAATGTGAGGATCTTGCCAGTAGGAAAATGAAATCACGCGGGCGGCAAGACGCTGACGACGGACGTGAGAAATTGAATCGCAGGCGTGGCCATATGGTGGCGACGATGCGAAAGCCAGCGACAAACGCAGATGAGCATCTTGAATTGCTGCTCGATGAGCTCGTTTTCCCATATCGAGTTGAACTTAACTTGAGTTCAAACGCGAGTTGGAGCTCGGTATTTGACAATCAAGCTTGACTCGAACACTCCATAATTCAAGTTGTTTGACACCCATAGTAGGCAATAATATATATATTATATTATAATTGATTATTACAAAAGGACATAACCAAAAATTTTTTCTCTTCTTAGGGTTTCAACATAAAAAAAATTCCAGTTTCACTTATTATCTTCTATATCTTTGCTTGCTAGATCTTCATACAATACTTCGATAGTAAAGGCTACCTAAACCCTCAAGCCCTAACGCAAACTTCGATCATTACTTCTCTCCACCGTACTCCCTGCACTGATCCTGCGCAACAATGGCGGCGATGTTGGTGCGTTACTTCTTATCCTTCATCATCTTGTTCGTCAGTTCATACAAAGTTAGAACGTGGGAGGTTGAATCTGATCTGGTTTTTGTCTGGTTAATGATTGCAGCAACCACAGATCATACTTCTGAAAGAGGGGACGGACACGGCACAGGGGAAGGCGCAGGTGATTTCAAATATCAACGCGTGCACAACGGTGGCTGATGCCGTGCGGTCGACTTTGGGGCCGAGGGGCATGGACAAGCTCATCCATGACGATAAGGGTAATACCACCATCTCAAACGATGGCGCCACGATCATGAAGTTGCTCGATATTGTTCACCCCGCCGCCAAGATACTCGTGGATATCGCTAAGTCCCAGGACTCCGAGGTGAATGGCTTTTCCTGGTGTTTGGTGCTAAATATTTTTATGTTTAAGCTTGCTGATTCTGGATTTTTCAGTTTTGGAATGGCGCTTCGAAGGCGCCGTGTTAGGATTAGTGAATATTGATTTGAGTATAAGGGCATTGCAGCGATTTGTTTCGTAATTAAGGATGGAAACTTGTAGCCTTGTATCTACTATATATTTTAGGGTTTAGGTTTTGCGGTGGTTTGATATAAGGGAATTTCTAGTTGATTAAATTGTGAGTTTTTTTTTTTTTTTTTTTTTGCGTTCTATCAGCTCTAGAACGGATGGTTTTTACATTTATCTTAGGATTTTATTATTGAAGAATACATGTACGGTATGAACGACCAATTGATTCGTTAAAAA